ATTTTATGACACACATAGTCCAGCCCGACAAGGTCTCATTTTTGTCAGATCCAGCCGTCATAACAAATGAGTTTGACACCCCTGCCTTAGATGAGTCCAGTACTAAATTTAGGGCCCACAGTTTGCCCTCCCCTTTATTTGGCCAGTTTATCTCAATTATCTGACGGTTCCTAAATATAGGCGAGCCTTTATGTTGGCCCGACTTAATTCCAATGGCAGAACTTTCAGGCTACTTTGAGAGGATTCCATTAGCTGAAGGTTTCTATAGCCGGGAAACCAGGAAGTCTTGGCACTTTGTTACACTGCTTATTGGACTGTCCAATATTTCATAGGTATATAATTGTGTTTGTTTCTCCCTTCCTAAAGGACCTGGCCGGTCCCTCTGTCCACTGTAAGCTACAGAACCTCTTGCCTGGGAACGGATCGTGATACTAGTCTCGCTGTTGCCAAGTTCTTTTCTTATGTAATTAAATCCAACCGATAGTTAGATTCGGACAATTTGATGTTTACCTGTTATAGGTGTGCCTATTGTTAAAATTATTGTTGATAATATTATATTGTTGTTATTCTGAATTGTTAATGTTCAAGACTGTAGTCATAAGAGCAGAGAATTAAAAGGAAAGGCTTTAATAAACTACAATATGAGTGAATCTTTAAAGAAACAACTATGACATACCTAAAGTCACTTTAAATGTTTGCTTGCTTTCAGCTTTCAAACCTTACAGTTAGAAGGGGGGTGGGGGTTTGCATTAAAAGCAATGAACTGTGAGCGTAAACTATTTTTCCCCCTCTCGACTGTCTTTATAATTTTCCTTATATTTTCCCCCTCTCATCTGTCTTTTTATAAATCTGCACTGAAGATCCTTTGCTTTGATATTCATGCGGGGGGAAAATGTTCTAGGCAGAATTCTCCTTTATCCTGCCCGAATGTCTGCCAACGTGAGCCTTGTTACTACAGTAAGGCACATTTTCCTTCTGTCCTCAAGCTGTTTTGCTGCTTATTATCTTGTCGAACATCCCAGCCGCCTGGCAGGATGGAGATTAGAAGTGCTTAATATTCATTTTATAAGAGTATTGCTGATTTTTTTTTGGGGGGGGGCCTGCAAAGGCCACAGTGCAGAGATACAATGCATTAGCACACAAAGTTTGGTGTGATCTACTGAGCCCTCTTAATCGTCCTTCTTCATCCTTTTTACGGTTTGTTTCAAAGTAATCCGCCGCAGTCTGCTGTTATCCCCCTAAGAAACGTGCTTGAAAACTGAATGTAGAAAGAACTCTAGATTTCAGACAGAGGCAAATGATTAAAAGAAAAGAAAAGAAAGACGGAACATGGGAGTTCCGCCGCGGAGGCACCATTTAACTGAATGGGAGAGAGCGATTTGGTAGAAATATCAGGCGAGTTAAGATTTGGGTGCAGTAGCATCTTAAAGACCGACAAGATTTTTTTGGGACGTAAGCTTCCAAGCGTCAAAGTTCCCTCCGTCGTGACTGCCAGTGCAGAGCTGTGGATAAGATGATGCACAGGGGTGGCCAAACCGCGGCTCGGGAGCCGCATGCGGCTCTTTCACACGTATCGTGTGGCTCCCGGCAGGGCTCCTGGGGAAGCGAAGGGGAGGCAGGCCTCCCCGATTGGTCTTCCCTTCCCCAGCCAGTGTTCCCCTCCCTGGGTAGGCTTGAGATGAGCGGGAGCAGAGAAAGAGAGCAACTTTAACTTTCAATGCGTTCTCAAAGCCCCCCCCCCCAAGCCTACAAATATCACTGGACAAATAAGTATCATTATCAATACCTGTTTTTACCACTTTTGTTTTTATTTTTGGCAGTCTCGTTTATTTAATGTTCATAAAAAACAAATGTGCATATTTTCCAATAAAACACGTGTGCAATATTTGTTAATGCCTTGTGGCTCTCAGACATCTGACGTTTATCCTGTGTGGCTCTTACATTAAGCAAGTTTGGCCACCTCTGGACTAGGATCTGAGAAACCCAGGTTTGAATCCCCACGCTGCCAAGGAAGCTTGCTTGGGGACCTTGGGCGAGTCACACAGAGGCTGAGCTATCTCACAGGAATATTGTGAGGATAACATGACGGAGAACAACGTAAGCTGATTTGGGTGGTGAAAGTCGGGATAGAAATAAAATAAATACCCAGGAAATCAGGCTGGCCAGTTTGGTGTAGTGATTAAGTGCGCAGACTCTAATCTGGGAGAACCGGGTTTGATTCCCCACTCCTCCACTTGCACCTGGCTGGATGACCTTGGGCAAGCCATAATTCTGTCAGAGCTGCTTGAAAAAGAGCAGTTTCTGTCAGAGCTCTCTCAGCCCCACCTACCTCACAGGGTGTCTGTTGTGGGGAGGGGAACGGAAAGGAGTTTGCAAGCCGCTCTAAGACTCCCTTGGGTAGTGAAGGGTGGGGTATAAATCCAATCTCCTCCTCCTCGTCATCCTCTTTAAGGTGCTTGAAAACTGCACATATAAAGAACTGTAGGTTTTAGACAGAGGTGAACAATAATAAAAAAGACAGAGGGAGGGCCTGTGGCTCAGTGGTAGAGCACCTGCTTGGCGTGCAGAAGGTCCCAGGTTCAGTCCCCAGCATCACCAGTAAAAAGGATCTGGCATTAGGTGCTGTGAAAGACGTCTGCCGAAGACCCTGGAGAGCTGCTGCCAGTCTGAGTAGACAATACTGACCTTGACGAACCAATGTTCTGATTCGATATAAGGCATGTTCATATGAGGATCTGTGGCACAGTGGTAGAGCACCTGCTTGGCATGCAGAAGGTCCCAGGTTCAATCCCCGGCATCTCCACTTGAAAGCACCAGGTGATGTGGAAGACCTCAGCCTGAGACCCTGGTGAGCCACTGCCAGTCTGAGTAGACAATGCTGGCTTTGGTGGACTGGGGGTCTGATTCAGCGTAAGTCAGCTTCCTGTGCTCCTGTGTGGTGACGGAAGGTGTGATCAAGCCGCAGCCGACTCACGGTGACCCCATATAGGGGTTTCAAGGCAAGAGATGTTCAGAGGTGGGTTGTCATTTCCTGGACTTCCTGGGTCATCTCCCATCCAAGTACTGACCAAAGCTGACCCTGTTTAGCCTCTAAGATCTGATGAGATCGGGCTAGCCTGGGCCATCCAGGTCAGGACAGATGAACAGAGGTGGTTTGCCACTGCCTGCCTCTGCCTAGCGACCCAGGGCCCATCTTGCTACTGGACTTGAACTCTTACTCTTCTACTGCAAACTAACATGTCTGCCCACCTGAGAAACTATCAGACAGGTGGTTTGAGATATGGGGCTAGACAGAGAGAGAAAGGCCTGGCATAACTCATTTGCATGTGCCACATCCCCTGACATCACCGGAAGTGTGTCAGAAGGCAACACTCACCGCTCAGGCTCCACTGGACTCTTTTGGATTGCTAGCTGCTGGGGGGTGGAATGTGCAGATCTGCCCTCGCAGAGGAGGGAGAGCTTGTACCTGTATAAAACTTGGTCTTAAAGGTGCTACTGGACTCTTTTGGCTGGGGTGTGTGTGCTCTGCAGCTTACCTGGCTGCTTGTTGGTGTGACTGAGGGCTACTGGGAGCAGAGGGTGGGGCTTGTTGCATGTGCCCGCCCCCTGGGCTCTTTACTGCCGGAGCAACATTTACTGGGCTTCCTGGTGATCTGATGAAGGATATTTTCAGTGACATCAAAAGCAGATGGTAGACAGCTGAGTGAAGGCGGAAGAGCTCCTCCCAAGGGGTTGTGCCCGCGATCACTCCCGAGCACACTTCTTCTACCGCTAAAGAAATGCTACATACATGGACAATAGAATGATTTGCTAGAATTTAATCTTTAAAAAAAAAAAAACTATATTTACTATGATCCAGAACTCCACGTGTGCTCTCGAGCATGCACAGGACTTTGGGTTACCAACCACTGGACAGGGCCTGGAGGTCTCCTGGAATTAAATGGCTGCTTTGGAGGGTGGGCTTTATGGCATTATGCCCCTTTGAGGTCCCTCTCCTTCCCAGACCCTTCCTCCCTGTTTTCCAACCCCCCCAAAATCTCCAGAAATTCCCCAGCTCTGAGCTGGCAACCCTAAGAGTATGTGGATGCTCCTTTTCAGTGAAAAGAAGAGATCTGCCCGTGCAAAAGGTGCAGATCTTCTTTCACCATTTGACATCAGTAAGGAATTGGGTTGCTAGCCTCCAGGTGAGGGCCTGGAGATCTCCTGGAATTGCAACTGATCTCCAGACCAATGAGATCAGTTGCCCTGGAGAAAAGGGCTGCTTTCGAGGGTGGACTCCATGGAATTATGAGGTCCCTCTTTTTTCCAGGCTCCACCCCCAAATCTCCATGAATTCCCCCAAGCAGGAGCCGGCCACTCTAGAGAAGTCCCATGTGCCCTGGCCCCACTGCTGGACCTCCTGATGGCCCCTGATATTTTCGTCCACTGTGTGACAGAGTGTTGGACTCGATGGGCCATTGGCCTGATGCAACATTGGCTTCTCTTATGTTCTTATAGATGGAACTCTCAGTCTGGGGCAAGGGATGCTCTGTATTCTTGGTGCTTGGGGGGGGGCAACAGTGGGAGGGCTTCTATTGTCCTGGCCCCACTGATGGACCTCCTGATGGCCCCTGGTGTTTTTGGCCACTGTGTGACAGAGTGTTGGACTAGATGGACCATTGGCCTGATCCAACACTGGCTTCTCTGATGTTCTTATAGATGGAATTCTCAGTCTGGGGCAAGGGATGCTCTGTATTCTTGGTGCTTGGGGGGGGGAGTGGGAGGGCTTCTAGTGTCCTGGCCCCACTGCTGGACCTCCTGATGGCACCTGGTATTTTTGGCCACTGTGTGACAGAGTGTTGGACTGGATGTGCCATTGGCCTGACCCAACATTGGCTTCTCTTACGTTCTTATGTTCTTATGTTCAGAGTTTCTACACCAAATCTGGACCAGAGGACTGCTGAGCTTAAAGCAGGCCATTGACTGAACTTGTATGTTTTCCTTCTTTTCTTTTTTATCAGACTGGAAGGAAGGAGAAAGGAGACCCGCTGAACATCGCTATCGACAAGATGACCAAGAAAACACGAGATCTACGGAGACAGGTACTTCTTGTCCTTTGCTGCATCCGTTAGCTGTAAAGAAAGCCTGGGTTGGTGGGGACATCGGCTGCTGAGGCAGTAATAGAGTCGGAGAGGGGTGTCCCTCTTTTGACAAGTACTGTCTTGCAAGTCTCAGTGTGGGGTGTCCCTTCAGAAAGCAGGCACTTCACGAGTACAAGTTAAGGAGTGCAAGCAGGATTGTAGATCTGTAAATGGGTCCTGCCAGATGTCTTGTTCTTAGAATCATAGGGTGAGGCTGTGTGTAGTCTTGCCACGCACACAAGTATTTTATTTTATTTCAAATATATGGTTTTATTTTTTTTAAAAAATAAAAACTTTAACAATATAACCATATACTACATTTCGGAACAATATCTCTTCAGTAACCTATCAATTACAATATTAACTTTTAACAAAACAATACTCTCTATTCCTGTTAAACAAGGTGTAAGCTATCCATAATTTCTGGAATTTCTCCTAGTTTTTGTAAGAATTCTAGAATAGGAAGAATAGGAAGAAGAAGAAGAAGAAGAAGAAGAAGAAGAAGAAGAAGAAGAAGAAGAAGAAGAAGAAGAAGAAGAGGAGGAGGAGGAGATTGGATTTATACCCCACCCTTCACTTGGAGTCTCAGAGTGGCTTACAAACTCCTTCCCCTTCCCCTCCCCACAACAGACACCCTGTGAGGTGGGTGGGGCTGAGAGAACTCTGACACAAACTGCTCTTTTTCAAGGACAGCTGTGCCAGAGCTTGTGACTCACCCAAGGTCACATCAGCAGGTGCAAGTGGAGGAGTGGGGAATCAAACCCGGTTCTCCCAGATTAGAGTCGGCACACTTAACCACTACACCAAACTGGCTCTCCAGTTTGGAAACCATATTGCAAACATCATTTTACTGTTTTCTGCAAGTTTAAATTGTATTAACCCTGTATTTTTTTTTTCTCACTAAATACAAGTTCCATTTTTTACTGTGCCCAGCTGATATACCTTCAAGCATTTTACTTCATTTCAAATTAACTTTCTACCATTTGGGCCTGAAGGAGACCTCAGGGAGGGGGTGGGGAGTGCCGTCAAGTCACAGCCCAATTATGGTGACCCCCATAGGATTTTCAGGGCAAGAGAGAAACAGAAGTGGTTTGCCATTGCCTGCCTCTGCATAGCAACCCTGGACTTCCTTGGTGGTCTCCCATCCAGATCGTTACCAAGGCTGACCCTGCTTAGCTTCTTAGATCTGACAGTATCAGGCCAGCCTGGGCCATCCAGGCAGAGCCCCCCCCCCCCCCCATGGTCATTCACAGTAAAAACCCTCCCAAGAATGCATATGCAGCATGCCATGTCCTCCTCTTTAACAGAAATAAGAGCCTCCGGATGATTAAAGCACAGCTGAAATCAAACAGACCCACCAGTCTGTTTGAAGACCCTCCAAAACAGAATGTTTGAAAAAATAAAATCCAAAATACTCGGGATCAGCATCAATTAAGTATAATGACATCTATTTGTTCTGATTTGTTTTGCTCGCTAATCCAGCTGTTTGAAGAATATGAGCTTTCGTGCAACTCGAGATTTCCCTAGGATCACTTGTCGGTTATTGACTCAAAGTGCTTTCGGCTCAGTTCTTTGGTTCTGAAATATTTTTTTGGAGATATGGCAGTGGGGGGGGGGGATTAAGACCGGTGGACAGACTAACCAACATTTGTTTCTTTTATTCTGCGCAACACGGATGCATTTTTCTGGTTTCTCAAACACGGTCTCGCCGAATAATGGCTTGCTCTGTATGATAACTTGATGAAAAGTAATTTGTCAACTGAGCATTTCAGTAAGAATTAGGTTTGCCAACTTCCTGGTTGGGCTTGGAGACCTCTCGCTATTACAAGTGATCTCCAGACAGAATCATAGAATCATAGAGTTGGAAGGGGCCTCCAGGGTCATCTAGTCCAACCCCAAATGACCAAGATCAGTTCCCTTGGACAAAATGGCTGCTTTGCAGGGTGCCCTGTAAGGCATTATACCCTGCTGAGGTCCCTCCTCTCCAGGGGTAGTTTCGTAGAAAAAGAGCTAGGGGAACTCATTAGCATAACTCATTAGCATATGCCACACCCCCTGACATCAGGGGCCCGGCGGTGGACCTGCAAGACCAGCGGGAGTGCGAGGAAGCCCCGCCAAGGCCCTCCCTGGCCCCAGGCAGGCAGGGGTGGGGAGAGGTGGGGAGGAAGCAACTTACCCTCCCTCTTCTCCTGCCTCCTCCTGGCTGAATGAGGGCTGGAAGCGGGGTGGCCGGAAGCAAGGGGCAGGGCTTCGTCATGTGCCCCACCCCCGCACCTCACCCGGGGGAACTGCAATCCCCCGCGATCCCCCCACAATCCCCCCCGAATCAACCTCTGCTCCTCTCCACAAATCCCACCCTCCCCAGGCCACCCACCTGAAATCTCCAGGTATTTCCCATCCCAGAGCTGGCAACCCTAGTACGAATCCCTGTTGGATTTGACCAGTGGTCCATCTAGAATAGCAACCTGTTCCACACAGTGGGCAACCAGTTGCCTTGGAAGACAAACCTAGCAAAACAATAAATCACCGTGTATACATATACAATATAAGCAAATATTTATATATAATAGTTTTAGAAATCAATTGTCAGCAAAGTTACAACTATAACATTATAGAATGCGATCTTATACAATATCACATATTGTAGACTCTGTCACATGAGAGCATATTAGGAGCTCCCCAGTTACCAGATTAAACGCGATAGCGTTAAAAAAAAACTGTATAAGAATTTACATTGTGATATAATGCTTGCAGCACTTTATTCCATTGAAGATAACAATACAGATGACAAACCTGAAGAAGGATTCGTAAACGGACTTATACTAGAAATCCGTCGTTTGTCGGAGAATATACTGTAGTGTTTCATATGTACTGCCAAGCCTAAGATCGCATTCTATAATGTTATAGTTGTAACTTTGCTGACAATTGATTTCTAAAACTATTATATATAAATATTTGCTTATATTGTATATGTATACACGGTGATTTATTGTTTTGCTAGTTACTGTACACCGTGGTCTTGTTTGTTGGAAGACAAACCGGCAGGGCATAGAGGCTAATGTCTTCTCCTGACGTTTCCTCCTAGGACTAGTATTCCAAGGTTTAACTGCCTCTGGAGGTGGATATCCCCTTCAGTCGTCTTGATTGGTAGCCACTGATGAACCTCTCCTCCATGACTCTGTTGAATTTACGCTTTAGAAAGGCCGCTAGGCTCATCACTGCATCCACCGCCAGCGAAATCCAGAATTTAATTACTCATTGAATAAAAGCTGAGTCCACTAGCATCTAAAAGACAAGCAAACTTTTGCACAACATAAGCTTTTGTGAATCAAAGCTCGCTCCATCAGATACACATTCTAGAGTCTAGACTCATGAAACTTTATGGCGTTGCAAAAGCTGTCTTTAAGGTGCTACTGAACTTGAATTTTGTTCTTCTACTACATACTAGCACAACTACCCACCTGAAACTTTTTCCCCCACTGAGTAAAGAAGTAATTCCCTGAATGTATTGTCCATCAAATTCATTGGACACCCCCAAGTACTAGTATATTGGTTGAGAGGGAAAAAAACAAACAAAACAAACCCAGGTTTTCTTTATCCACTTTCTGCACCCCCATGCATAATTTTATACATCTCTTTCTTGCCTCCCATTTTGTTTGTTTGTTTTCTGTAAGAGCCATGATTGTTTCCATGTCCGTTCCTGTAGCTAATGCTAACAATTTTATCTCTGTGGAGTATTCGACAAGTGGCCCAACACCAGTTACAAAATAATTATACAGTCACATTTCCCCCCAAAATTGCACTCCAACTTTGGACTAGTCCATCCTTCCTTCTTATGTGATCCCTTGATGCTCCAGAAATATGTGCCTTAACTAAACGTGGACAGGGTCCTGTGTGTTTGCATTCCATTCTTCAAACTGTGCAAGCTCATAGTTTCTTTGTTGTATGTTCATCTCATCTTTGGGAATCACCTGTATTGGTCGCCAGCACTTTCATGGAGCTAGGTCCAGTTCTTTTACAGAGGAATGAGGCAGGTGCTAATTCAGAAGTCAATGTAATAGTGATATATATATATCACTATATATATATATATATATATATAAAAAGCAGAGCAAAAAGGATTACCTAACAGAAACTACATGGCCTAGAAGCAAGGACAGGATGTTAGAAAGAAGGCAAGGTACTAAGACTCAACAGGAAGTTATTTGTTGCACATATTTACTTACTTCATTCTTACAGTGTGTGCAGGCTAAGATCCGTCTTGCTTTTTTACTGCTGAAGAAGGAAGGAATGGGGTCCTCTTGGATCGCCCATAAGAAAATAAGGGAAGCCATGTGGGATCAGGCCAATGGCCCATCCAGTCCAAAACTCTCTGTCACACAGTTGCCAAAAATATCAGGTGCCATCAGGAGGTCCACCAGCAGGGCCAGAACTCCAGAAGCCCTCCCAACTGTTGCCCTCCCCCCAGCACCAAGAATACAGAGCACCACTGACCCAGGCAGAGTGTTCCATCAGAGCCAGAGTGGTGTAGTGGTGAGGAGTGCTGACTCTAATCTGGGAGAACAGGGTTTGATTGCCCACTCCTCCACAAGCAGCTGCTGATGTGACCTTATGAAAGACATAAATTCTTTCAGAGCTGTTCTTTCACGAGCAGTCCTCGAGAGAACTCTCTCAGTCCCACCTACTTCACAGGGTGCCTGTGGTGGGGAGGGGAAAGGAAAGGAGTTTGTAAGATGCTCTGAGACTCCTTTGGGTAGTGAAGGGTGGGATATAAATCCAATCTCTTGCTCTTCTTCTTCTTCTACTACTACTACTTCTTCTTCAACTACTTCTATTTCTACTTCACCTTGTGGCTAATAGCCACTGATGGACCTCTGCTCCATGTTTAACCAGTCCCCTCTTAAAGCTGTCTATGCTTGTAGATGCCACCACTTCCCGCAGCAGTGAATTCCACGTGTTTT